ACCAAAAAAGAAAACTATTTTAAGCATTAATTTAAAATATTAAAAATATATAAATATCATTATTCTGATACTTAATTATATCAATTAATGCAAGTATTTTGTCAAATAAAGTTTTTTACCCGAATTTCCAACCGCAACAGTTGTAACAACTTCCGTATTTGGATCATTGGGATCAAATGGTAAAGGATAACCTCTACATACATCTAAACATACAGTTTCACCTGGAACAATACCTTGAAATACGCTAACCATATCATGATGTGTATATCCAAGTACACATTTATCATTGACATATACCAGAACATCTCCTAAAAATGCAAATATGTTTTAAATTATAAAATACATAAAATGTATGGTAAAACATAAGATAAAATAGTTAAGTTTTGAGACAATAACTTTTGCAAGTTAAATGAGGTCTTTGTTATTTTAAAAAATAGGCTACTTGTCTAGTTAAGTCTTAGTTGGGAAAAATATAAATATATTACCATGGGCGGATAGGCCTACCGGGCAGCCATACATTTCCCGGTGCCCCGCTTCATACTTCGTTAATGGGGCCCTAATATCATATATTAAATTTTTTTTTCATGTGGGGCCCCTTTTTAAAATTTTCTGGTAGGCCAAAAATGGCCTATCTGCCCATGTATATTACCTTTTATCTATTTAAAAAACGTTAAGAGGACGCCAAACCCGCATGTGTTGTCTCCGTCRTACAAGTGCGTAGCATACCAAATTTTACGCTCAGCAGATCACGATTATCTCCGTTAATTTAAAATTTAGAGTGAATTGACTTATTATAAAAATTAAAGGTAAGATTATTACCGAGGGCATCTCATAGGCTTTTTATTATATTTTAATTTTAAACTGAGTTATGACTATTTTAAAATTGTAAATTATTTTTATATCTAAAAATACTTATTACTCGGTTTAAAATTAAAATATAATAAAAAGCCTATGAGATGCCCTTGGTAATAATCTTGCCTTTAATTTTTATAATAGGTCAATTCACTCTAAATTTTAAATTAACGGAGATAAACGTGATCTACTGAGCGTAAAATTTGCTATGCTACGCACTTGTATGACGGAGACAACACATGCGGGTGTGGCGTCCTCTTAATATGAAATTCATTTCTTAGTAACTATTTTTTTTTTTTGCTGACATTTAAAAATATTATTTTTGTTTCAATTGCAACACTTGATAAATGACAAATATGAATTGAATATAATAATATTATAATACATTTTCCTTTACCTGTTTGTAATTTCCCTTCTAACCATGCTGGTCCATTTGGTACAACAGATTTTATTTGGAGAAATTCTTCTTTAGAATCGTCTCCTCCAACAATAGTAAATCCTAATCCACGGATTGATTTTACAAGAGTAGAACGAATTCGTTCTCCAACTAGTTTGTGTGGATTAGTGGTAAATAAATTACTACTGTTACCAGAATCTAGGAAAAAAAACACCATAACAATTTATCTATACAACTTTAGATTATAAAGAAAAAACAAACCTTGTTTTATTGAATTAATGTTATCAAAACTATTTGAGGTATAATTTGGAATATTATCTTGTGCATCATTAATTTGATCTCCTTAAATAAAATATATAATACTTATTGATTGAATAAAATTAATTAATTTAAAATGTTACCCTGTATAGCATTCTTAGCTTGAAGCACAGGATTTTCATATTGTGTTTGTCTATTCACATGATCAATGTAGTATGTGCCATAAAGAGGGTCATCAATTCTTTCCCAACCATAGGGTAGTTCATCATCAGAACAGTCTTCTAATTGTTTCTTTTGAAACTTTGATAACCTTGGATCTAACCAGTGTGATGTACTAGAATTATGACTATAATAAATATATTAAAATCCAATGTTAATACAACAAAAACCAAATACTCAATATGTATAAAAATAAATATTTTTTTATTTATAAAAATCTAGAATCCGTTTATTATTTATAAAAAGGTATATACATATATTCATAGTAAAGCGAGTACAGTAGGGTCTCGATAATCCAAACACAGGCTAATCCGAAAGACGCGGTTATCTGAACGGGCTTRAGAATTATCTTATCGTCATAATATGTACATATGTATGTATTTATAAATAATATTTTCCGGTAATAAAGTTTCTCAATTATGTGGCACAAGGCATACCAATCCATCATGGGAACAATGTACAAAAAAAAAAATAATAAATATTTTAAATAGTAAAATTCATAATTATATTAATATTTTTATGTATTCATTGTCTTTTGAAATTACGAGTTTTTACACGATTAATAAAAATAAAAATAAAATTTTAAAAATTTTAAATTAAAATAAAATTGATGTTTTTTTTTAAAGCTATATGTAATCCGAACAAATCGCTAATCCGAACGACCCGTTTCCCCAATCACGTTCAGATTATCGAGACCCTAYTGTACATAGTTTAACTGAAATATTTTACTTAACACACAATTGTGTATAATTGGTAACTACTATGTTTAAATTAATTAATTTAAAAAATATTAAATTCGAGAGCTTTTCATTTTTATTAATAAAAATTTACTAAGTAATTAAAATTAAAATATTTTACTCAACAAATTTATAAAACAATGATAATTTAAATGATATCTGGATTGAATAAAATGTATATGAAATCTATCTTTATTCCACATTAATTTCAAATAATACTCACTCAATAAAATAAACTTCACCATTTTTGGTATAGGCTTTTTCCCATTTTGGAGGAAGTGGTCCTAAATCCAAATTATCTGATAATGTTGAGTCTCTTGAATGATTATATGCATTATTTTTGGTACTAGGCCCATTTAAGTATTCTTCTGAAACGAATTCAAATATAAATAAAAACATAAGCATGGATGTTAAATTACTGTTTATGATTGAATAAAAAACTACAGTACAATAAATAAAAATAAATAGTCTAATAAATTAAAACAATAAAACTAATCAGTTCAATTATTATGGTAGAATTGTAAAAAATATATCACAACATTTTAATTTTAATTAACTAATTTATATGGTGACCCTAAATCAGTTTGACAATTCATAGATGAATCACTATGTATAAATGTATTTCGTTTTTACTGATAGCCAAGAGTTATTTATTTACCAGTAAAAATATAAGTAGGCCATCTATAGATTTTAAACTGCCTTTAMATCATCAAATAAACATAGCCAATTATTATTTAATATTATTTCTACATCAACTGATAGTAAAATAAAAAGTAGGTTGAAAACACAATATTTTACTTACAGCATATGAAACAAACAAATTAACATTTTAAAAGCTACATTTGGAAGATATTTTTTTGCTTACATAAATAAATAATTGTTTACAAAAAATAATTAAGGAATTGGTTAGAACAGTAATTATCCATAAGAAAAAACAAATTGTTTTCTTACCATTATTCATAGAATGTTGAAGCTTATCTTGCATGTTATCCATATTCACGGTATTTAATTATAATATATTTTTTCATTTGATCATTAATACATTCTAGTTTTTAAGCTAATAATATGATTTATAATCATAGCGTTTACAGAGCAATTCTTCAAAAAACTATGTGTAATTGTATCCAGGAGTTCAGTAGTATATAATAATCATCTAAATAACATAAAACATTTTTGATAAAAGCTTGAAGAATAGGAAAAAAAACATTATAAAATAAAAGTTGTACCTAGCCTAGTAGGTTATCAAATAATTATAGAGTAAAATTTGCATTTAATAAATAATTTCTTTATAACAGGTAGGTACAATTTTTGTAAATTTCACTAATTAATTAATTAAGTMTTTTCAAATTTAATTACAATCAATAAATATGTTTTTTTATTGGTTTATTTACATCTTCTTGTATTTGTGTGTATGTATTTAACTAAACATGATTAATGTTAATATGTGTTGTATTTTTGACAGATATTGAGTTAGTTTATAAATTATAAGACATATTATTTATTTTTTTAATGAAAGAATTTTAATTGTAAATCATCTTTTATTCATACATAGCTTATCATGAAAATGTCAACAAGATTTCATATTAGATATTGTATCTACATTGAGTGTACAATTTCTAAATAACATTGAATTCCTACGTCATCATGACTGAATCTAAATGTTATTACCAAAACAATAAGAATCAAATAATTAATTTTACATTTCTCATCTGCTGCACACGGGACTTTGTCGTTTGATAGTAGGCTCGTCATTGTGACATACAAAAGTTAGTTTTCTCAAGACCTAGTAYATCGCTGTACAAGATGTAAAACAATAATGAAATACACTATCCATCACACAACGACACGAGTACGAACTAAAATGCATTATTTGAGTGACGATCGCGATATTTCAACAAACCTACTTACTCATTTCTGTCGCGATTCCAGTATCTCTCTTAGCAGTCTCGAGCCTGTCGACATGTAACCGCCGAAATGAAACGACGACGGTCTCGCACGTCGGACATATGAGGGCAGTATCAAATGGGTGGAGTAAACGAAAAACTGGCGGTTTGTGCGAGAGTAAAAAGGCCGTCTAGGTGCGCGCGCGAGTGTGTGTGTATGTGTGTGTGTGTGTGTGTGTGTGTGTTTGCGTATTTGTATGTGTAAGTGCGCGCGTGTGCGAGGAACGAGAAAACGTAACAGAAAAACGTTTGTAATAACGCACACAAACGAGCGAAAAAATAAAATTGCACAACGAAATAAAAGTACAACAGATATAACAATCCACCGTGAACGGTTTCCGAAACACTTATTTAGGTTTCGATAACACGAGGGGAGTGCCTCCGTCGGGCAACACGGACTACATTAACACTATTAACAGTGGTCACCATGGTGAGCGTGCCAGCAGGTGTCAGCAACCACACAGCGCCAGCAGCTACGTCATTTTATTCCATAGTAATGTCGTCATGGCATCCCCTGATTCTAATCAGTAATCAGTGATAAACATTATAAACACTTTTATATGTGTCAACAACTTTATCTAAATAAGTAAATAATAATTTGTATTATATTATTGTAAGCAAGGTGGATTGATCCACATTCCACCTTGAATACTCTCACCTTTATCGAATTATTAAACATAAGTAAAATTATTAATGATAATAGGTAGGTATATATTTTAAATTTTAAAATGATAGGGTTCTTCTGCGTTGAGTGTATTAAGATTTTAAAATATTATTTTGTTCGAAGTAAAAAATGTGGATGTCGGATCTGTTAAACTAATAACAATAATAAAAAATAAAAAAGGTAAATTCTAAAACTTTATAAACCTATAAATACTTAGATACATCAAATTTAATATTAATTCTGAAAATTTAAATATAAAAAAAATAACACATGTAATTGTAAAATTAAATATAAATACATCCTACAGTCATTGCACTGCTCAGAATCTGATGCATGTAATATTGTAGAAGAMTGTTATTGTAATTTTTTAATATGTACATTATGAAGATTTATTGTAAACCGTATGAGTAATAATGTATATATAAAAATGTTTTTGTAGTTAAAGTATTGAACATATATGAACATAGGATGGTCATTTAAAAATAATGTGATAAAGTTTGTATCAATTAATGTTACTAATAACTCATGATATTTTTTTTGAACATCATTGATGATGCTTTCTTAATTTAAAACATTATTGAATAATATTATATCCGAATCTATACTATTAATTTTCATTTTTTCTTTTCATTTTTGTGAATAAGGTCAATTTTTTAAATTTTAAGGCATTTTACTTTTTTTCATAATTGAGAAATAAATGTTGTGTAAATTTTCTGTCATTGTTATATTTTTATATTTTCCAAAAATGGAATAATTAAATAGTACCAAACTAATATAAATATACTTAAAACAAAATTTTTAATTACTTTTAAGATTAAAACCAGTTCTAGAATTCAAATATAAACAGAAATCACGTGTGTCTATAACTGTAATTTTWMATTTTAAAATAAATAAATAATTTTACCATCTTTATTAGTTTAATGAGTATTATTTAAATCTCATTAATGTATACAATTTTTGGGCTTTCTTCTTATCAAATTCTTTCTTTTTTTATAGGTTTTTAGGACGAAACATCTGAGCCCTACCTACTAATAACAATAGTCGATTCTATTGGAAATGAATCAGAAAAATAATCTTATATATAATATTCTAGGTTTCATTTATTAATTTATTATATTATCAATTGTAAAAAAATTGAATCATTTGGTTTTTAAAGAAACATTTTTTTAAAGATGTGTTTTTTGTATTAAATACAATTTTGTTTGTTGACAGATCTAAAAAGTATCATTGTGTTGTAACAAATGTCAATCATGAAAACATTCCAGATTCTCAATGTGAAAAACGATTATGTAATACAGAGTTGTTTGGCAATATCTTTAATTACTGTTACAACTTGGATAACAAATATTCTAAGAAAAAAAATAAAAATAAGACAGAATGAAAATGCTCAACAGTGTGTCAATAATAAAATAATGACAATTCCATTGATTGTCATAACAGGCTGTGACACAGGTCTTGGATATTCAATTGTTATGAGATATTTAAAGGGCGAACATTTTAATAAAAATCAAAATGACAGTAAAATGTATAATTTTTTCAATAATAAAACACTAATAATCCCAAACAAGATTGGGATAGTTGCATTTTGTTTGAACCCTAATAGCCCAGGTGCTAAATGCTTACTTCAACTATCACTTAAAAATACTAATATTCAGTTGTTCGTTAGACAATTAGATTTAACTGATGCTGATTCTATTATGACTGGTGTAAATTTTGTTACTAATCTACTTCAAACAAATGTTGATATAAGTAGCTCACACAATGAAGCCATTTTTTTTAAATATGGTATGTACAAAATTTAAAAAGCTAAATTAATYAATTTAAAAATAAATATATTTTAGAACTACATGCATTGGTGAACAACGCAGCACGAATGGTAATGGCAGAATATGAATGGCAAACTTCAAAAATGATAAAACAGCAATTTGAAGTTAATATCTTAGGTCCAATCATGTTAACTGCATTTTTATTGCCAACATTTCGCAAATATAAAAGTAAACATTCCTAAAATAATTAATAARATTTTATTCAAATCTTGATTTAATTATATAGCATAATTCTAGTGTAAACATAAATAAAATAAACTACAGGTCGTGTGATAAATGTAATTAGTCATTGTGCATATCTCCCACTTCCTGGAGTATCTATTTATGGTGCTACAAAAGCTGCCATACGTGCATGGACAATTGGAACAAGGGTAGAACTTGATAATCATRGCATAAAAATGATCACATTTTCACCAGGTAACAATACAATTTTTTATGATAAAATAAACAAAAGTTAATGTAATAATTTCTCATTTAAGGATCATTTTATCTTCATTCTTCCATTATGAATGGCGAACAAAGAATGATTGATTATGAAGATATGTGCAATAATATGAATAAAGAGCAATTAGCTTATTACGGTGCTTTTATGGATTCCTATCAAAATTACTTGAGTAAAATTGATGCATATATTAATCCTCCAGAGATAACCATTCCAAGCACTAATAAAATATACTGCCAAATGGATAATGCACTATGGGCAGTCYATCCCAAAGCTGAGTATAATGTACCTGAACCTTGGCGATATAGAATCTATTTTGCATTAGCTTGGACTCTATCATCTTTAGGCTTACATTATTTTAAAGATAAGGTTGTACGTAAATTTGTGGCTACACCACAGTTTCATAATAATATCACAAGTTCAGTTGAAAATATCTAATTAATCTAATTAACAAGGTTGAAATTTATGTAACTAATGTAAAACATTTCAGAATAATATAATGAGTTCAAATGTGATATTATATTTAACTTATTTTTACATATTTTGTATATTATATATTGTAATTAATGTATATATTACATAAAATTTCAAAACTAGATTAGTAATAAGTAATTAAAAATCTTCAAAAATTAAGTAATTTGAATTAAAAAAAGAAAAAGAAAAAAAAGATGAATGTTGAATTAAGTTTATGTGATTAGTAAATGTGATTTAATAAGTTATTGATAATTATACTTATCGATTTCATGTCATGTACCAATAGCCAGTAGGTATTAGGTATATAATGTTATATATACTTAGTGCTTAGTTTTGTGGTTTACTTTATTAAGTACCTAGTCACAGTTGTGTCCTCATTTATAGCCTGTAGGTACTTGGTAATAAGAAAAATATTCTAATTGTTTTCATTTTTAAATTTTTATCAGTGTCATGAAACRCATTATATTATATAATCAGCATTTTGAATTTTTGAAACAGTTGCGGCTCCAAGGGGGAGCCTAGTAGCTGCGGCCYCCTCCCAAGCACTTATTTAAAACAATAATGTATATTGTTGCAAAAAAAAAATTACAAAAAAAAAATCATATAATATTGATTATTGACTATTATACGACACGCACTATTATGTAGATAGAGTCATAGAGGTATWACCACAGACTATATTTTCATATAGTCAGTGGTATGACGGTATATAACATATACAATGTATCTATCTATATTTTGAAGAACTTATAAGACTAAATATAAAATACACTTTATTACTATGTTATTATATTATTTTATTACCTATGTTCCAAACATAAAATTGCATAGCACACATTTTTGTGCGGACTACGGGAATGTTAAGAATATTATCTTGATAAATATTGTTATAATCTTATTCTATAAATAATCTTTTTGTTATAAAGCCCAACCAAGGCCTGGAGCTACCCCTGTTTTGAGATGGTTTTTGATCGTTGTCAGGTTTTTGAGTGTATTTGTATTTTCTGTTCTCCTTTACATAATATTYAATTTGAAGATATCAATAATAATAATTATAGTATGGTGATTTAAAGAAATATAATACACAAAAAATTGTTTCTGAAACTTAGGTTTTTAATTTATTTTACATACAATATGATATTAATGCACATTTTTTTTTCTAAGATAACCGCAATAATGTAATGAGTGTTGCAAGTCTTAAAGAAGCTAAACCTTGCTAATAAAATTACTTATTATCTATTTTGAATAGTAAAATTATGAAATTGTTAAATCATGTCTAAATTTTAATCRATATTTATTTATTWATATGTATTTAATTTTTTTAAATAAATGATTTTTTTTTTTTCATAAATATTGAATATTGAGATACATTTATTAGAAAACATAAAGATTGGATTCTGCATCTAAATTTTATCTGCATTCTTAGTATATTTTAAATTATATGAAATATATTAAAAAATATACTTTTTTCTTCTTGAGATTTGAGAATACAAATAAGTAATGAGTAATGACTAATTCTAAATTGTATCATTGAGTATACTAGTATATATAATCATCAATCAATGATTAATCTTCAAAAAATTATTTGTTTTAAATAAAATACAAAAAAACAAAATTGATTATATAAAAAGACAAAAACTGGTTTTGTATAAAAAAAATTGGTTATCCTTTATAGTTTAAATCTCGAATCGCTTAAATTTGATTCTATAATTAAACTAATTTAAGAATTGAAGAATATTTAAAAAGTAATTGTTTAATTTATTGGCAAACAGTACAAATCTATTTACTCTATACCACGAATTAAAATATATTTTAATTCGTGCTCTATACTAGCCATCGATTATAATCAATAATCATTGATAATAGATGATAATTCAACAATTGACATGTCTGATGCATGCGAGCGAGTAAGGTAATGCTACAACTTATCCATTACTGCACAGAAGAGAACAATCTTAAATTCTTAGAAGTTAGAATATAGGTATCTTACGTCATTGTGGTTGTTTTTCTTATTACGTATTTATAATTATTGAATGTTGATGTACTTTAATACCAACTTTCGTAATAAATTATTATTATTATTATTTTTATTATTATTACCTATAGGTACGTGACTTCCTGCGTGGTCACTGGTGACTGGTCGTTATAAAACTTGGAGTTTTTTAAGTTTTGTTGAGAGGAATAGATTTACAATAAGTAATCCATACAAGTTTTAAGTTAAATTAATAAACAAACTTTAATACAGTGAATAATAATAATAATGTATTAATATGTATCATAACACAACGCACTCATGAACGTACCTATATCGGCAACGGGTTGCATATCTCGACTGCCTAAAGACAAGAACTGTGTACATAATCATACTATAGTTAATATTACTAACTGTCACATATATACACACACACAATATTGAAAATATTCCATCTTTGCATTTCAATTTCTCTATAAATGTATAACTATATAGCTAATATACTGCAACTGCAGTATGACAATAATTCTTATATACAATCGACAGAGTAACAACTAAATTATAGTTTAATATTTCAACAAGTTGTTATTTCTTATTAGTTATTAGTTTATTACTTTAATTCAATAGGTCTAATTCCTTATAAAATAATTGAGGTCGACGAGCACGAACCTTAGTTTCCCCCTTCGTCACTTCGATATAAATAACAATATCAGGCACGTCGCCAAGTGGAGGCCTTAGGGGGCCTGGCCCCCTAAGAAATGTCAGTGGCCCCGGACTGGCCCTCTTTATTTTTATTTTTAAATATTACGGTGTGTAATATAATTGTCCCAAACCGGTTAAATCCTAATTGTATATTATATGGTACTCCATAATATAATAAAGTTAACGATTGTATAGCAAAAATTAAATTCCAAAATTTTAAATTATTCGTCAATAATACAAAATAGACAATAAGACGTCTATTAATAAATTGAAATCTAGGAATGACAAATACAGGTAGGTTTCCAACGCACATTTGATAAACACAACTACAGACAATACTATATAATAAATAATNATTAGATTCTGAACGAAGTGATGAATGTTGTAACGTCATAGAATTTTGAGACTTTTTTATTAGAATATTACATTAATTTTAGGTACCGATTGGCTACTGGAAAACGGGGTGACCATAGACTACGATCGCAGGGAAATCACCCTCYCCTCAATTAAAGACAATATCCCTTTCAAATTAATCAACGACAATGACCCAAATAGCCTTATTAACTCTTTAGAAAATATTATTGCTACTGACGATCATCTCACCATGCATGAACGTCCCTCCCATTAAATACATCCAACTTACCCACTCGAAACAGAAGAAAACATTGCCCTTAACCTAACCTAACCTCCATCCTACAAAATTATAATCACATCTTCAAAGACAAACCCGGCCTCCACACCTTTTTCTYTTATAAATTTAATATCAAACCTCATGACCCCTACAAAATTAAACCGTATCCTATACTTTTCTCTCGCCGTCCCGCCGTACAAAAAGAAATTGATAAGATGATTAAGTGGGGGGGTGATCGAACGATCGGTGTACGCGCCCAACAATTTTGGGCTATCCGAAGGACCACTCGGTGACGTCCGAGAGCGAATTGAGTAATAATACTCTATTGCGGGGCGTAGGTAGGCAACTAAAAGTGGACGACTCCTTATATGTGTTGGGTATGCAATATGAAGTGCATCTGTGACAACGACRACGAGGAAAGGGAATAGAGAACACGGGAATGAGGATGCAACARTTTAGTTATGGGGAGGGRCTCTCTGTGGTCGAATCTATCTGGTGCAATGACCACAGAGCTCACATAAATTGGCCAACCTTAATAACTACACTTAATTCTATTGAAGTCTGTAAGTCCGTTGTGGCAGATAGAAATGGAGACTGATAATGTTCTGGAAGACTTGGGCGGCCTCCCACACACCACGGCGAGTGCTGGCGGTCTTGCGGAAGYGTGAGTTGATCCACGAAAACYCAACGGATGAGTCCTACGATCGTGTGAGTGACGACAAAGAACATATTCAGTGGATACTAACGTGGTTATCGTCGCACACGACTAGTCGGACGATGGAATAAAGTAAAAACAAAAAAAACGCACCAATGATTTTATGCCTTAATGGCGAAACAAATATAATAAATTTCGTGCCGCATTGGCTACGAAGACAAGTAAAAATTTTACAATACGATACTCAGTTTTGAGATTATTGCGCACAATGCGACTTACTATGATAGAAAAAAATCAAAACATGACAGAAAAAACGACAACAACAAAAACGAAACAGCAATAATTTTCGACGACTACCACAATAATAAAAATCATAATAATAAGGGTGTTGGCCGCAAAACAAAAACAAAAAATAATACATAATAATGATAAATTGATAGCAAACATACGGTAAAAGAATAATCGTATGGCAAAAGCCGACTAATATTTTAAACAGATAACATACATATAACAAAGAGAATAAATAAGAAAACAATTATAATAATTCAACAATTAATGACGGAGTGGTGCATGAAGGAGAAGGGAAACGATTAAGAAGGTAGGTAAGATAAGTAGACTGGTTGTCGTGCACATCAGCGTATAATTTGTTTGGCGCGAACATCACCGCCCACTTTGAAGGAATCCCTTCAAGAAATCGGAAGKGAACAGAGTTTTACTGCGGGTCGTTTCAATGGGCCTGAGGTGGTGTCTAGAGTAGCTACCCTAGAGATACCTCAGAACCTGGATGGAGTTCTCGGATCCGTCTAGTTCGCCAATGAAGAGGGCGAGTCGCTTCTTTCACGAGTACAAGGTCACCAATATGGAGTTCTTGACCTGGTTCTGACCATTTTCTTCGAAGTTGGAGGCTGCTGAGGTATTCGTTCTTCCATCTGGTCCAAAAATGGTGGTGTAGATCAGTTATGAGACGCCATCGTTGATATTTTGACATTGATTCATTTGAAAGATTTGGATCCGGAAGTGAGGATGACGGCTCAAGAGTTAGAAAATGACTTGGCGTCAGAGCCTCAAAATCATC